CATACATACGCTTTCTTTTTCGAAAATCAACTAGTTTTTACACGAACAAAAAAAAAACCTTAAATGTGCATCACCCAATTCTCTTTAACAGATTATCCTTCTACTTAGCACAAAAACTATCTGAAACATAACGCGGTCGGGGTAACATTTTCACTCACAACCCGGCGTTCCGGTTCGTTCCGACCCAATTCCAACTAAAATGTATCATAAAAACCATGTGTTCCATAAGCTAAGTTCTAATCTAGCGATAACAACCATAAACTTAAATGTAAAATCCAGATTAAGCTGGTGGTACTCACTTCTTTAGCTGACGTAGAAAATATTTTTATTTAAATATAAGGAATTTTAAATGTTTTAAGCTGCATTATTCATATTTCCCCATATAGGCCTAGTCACAGAAGATCCACCCAGGGAACAATAAATGACTTAGACATGCTGGACGAACTGCTAAGAGATTATGACAGACGAGCTTTACCCACCAGTTATCTTGGTACGTATGTTGTTTTTCTTTTTCTTATCATTTTTTTAGATTGGAGGGGGTTTGTTTTTAGAGCAAAGCCACATTGGGCTATCTTCTGTGGCCACCGTGGGGAGTCGAACCTCGGACTTTAGCGTTGTACGTCCATAGACTTACTTCTGTCCATTCTGTCCCATCGGGGACTTCAGGGAAAGAGGAGGAAAATTTTGTTGTATCTAATGTAGAAACTACCGCAAAGAAGGTGAGGCATTAAGTAACAGAAATGGGGGATTCTTTCTAAATTCCACGTTTTTAAAACTTGGAAAGATGTCACACAGATGTATTAAACAAATACAGTCAACGTTTATTAGTATGCAATAAATTTAAAACGAATGTCTCCAGTCTCAAATTACAATAACAAATTGTTACTGCTATAAAGTTAAAATACTGTGAGCCTAGGATTAGTCTTATACACTCTACACGTTACGACGTCTTACTGCGTCATTATCAGGAGTGCAATATTTTGTTAGAGTTAAGACCTATATACAATTTCAAAAGGCCCATACGGTATGGCCAGGTGGTTAGGGCGCTCGGCTCGCAATCTGCGGGTCGGGGGTTTCAATCCCCGTCACACCAAACATGCTCGCCCTTTCAGCCGTGGGGGCGTTATAATGTGATGGTCAATCCCACTATTCGTTGGTAGCCCAAGAATTGGCGGTGGGTGGTGATGACTAGCTGCCTTCCCCTCTAGTCTTACACTTCTAAATTCTGGACGGCTAGCTCAGATAGCCCTCGTGTAGCTTTGCGCGAAATTCATAACAAACAAATAGTTTCAAAAATCACACGATCAAATTTACACATAATTTAGCTTCAAGTATTCACGCCACCTATTAACAACATTTCTCTCTAATCCTTACTTAATACTATAAAGTTATTGTTTTTACATTTGATTATCTCAGAAGATTCACGAATATTATTACCACTGATGGTTGCAAGTTGTGCTAAAATAACAGTTTTTCCCTTTGAATCGAGCATTTAATTTCATTATTATATTCGGCTAAAAACTAGATCATCATTTCAGTATTATTTCTAATATTAGTGACTTTTATAGTTTGCCATAATGGTACTTCATTTAATAGAGATGTACGTTATTATAAGAACTAAAATGAATGAAACCAGTTCTGACGTCTCATAAAATAAGATATTTGTTCTACTATCCTTATGTATACATTATTTAGAACGTGGATATAAGTATATGTTATATTTTCTTTACACCAGGTATCCCGACGGTTGTGTCATGTCAAATATACATCAGAAGTATTGGTTCCATTAACCCTGAAACAATGGTAAGCTATAGATTATCGAAAAGCTGTGTTTTAGCAGTCACTTGATATGTTAGTGAATTCTACATAAGGCCAGCTTGAAAGACATTTTAAGAAGCATCTGGTGGAGTTGAAAATAGTTTTTTTTTTACAATTTGTCTAATTATATTCGGTTATGTAAATTGTGAAATAATATGTGAAGGGTTAACTGAGATGTGGATGTGTGAACAAATCATGAAAACGTTTATATATATATATATTTCGTGTTGGTTTTCACTCTTTTATGTCTGAGGTCTTTAACGTGAGGTTAATGATAGATATATATATATAAACGTTGCACATAAAGAGTGGTTTGTTTGTTTGTTGAATTTCACGCAACGTTACTCGAGGGTTACTCTGCGTAAGTCGTCCCTAATTTAGAACTGATAGAATAGATGTAAACCAGCTAGTCAATAAAACCCACCGCCAACTTTTAAGATACTCTTTACCAATGGAAAAGGGAATTGACTGTCACGTTATAACGCCCTCATGGTTGAAAGGGCGAGCATGTTCGGGGACAAGATATGAAACAGCAATCAGCAGAGTTAGGCCATAAAGGACGAACAAATGTGAAAGATAAAAATAAGATTAGTCAGCAGTGTACGAATTGTTTCAAGACATACATTACTAGGAATCCTTATTTCATGAAATACCGTAGTTGAACATTCCTTGTTTCATGACGTACATTATTAGACTAATCCTTGTTTGAAGACATACAGTACCTTGTAAAAGTATTCACCCATACCAATAATGTCACATTTTGATTAAATACAAGCAATGTAAACAAATGTAAAAGTATTCACCCCTACCAATAATTTCACATTTTGGTTAAATACAAACAAAGTAAACAATTGTAAAGGTATTCACCCCTACCAATAATGTCACACTTTGATTAAATACAAACAATGTAAACAATTGTAAAGGTATTCACCCCTACCAATAATGTCACACTTTGATTAAATACAAACAATGTAAACAATTGTTTTTTAATGAACTTATTTTTATTCAGAACTTTAATGATCAAACTTAACACTGTTATGTGTGAAGGAGGTTGAACGTTAGCAAAACCTGCAAAGAAAATATATAAATTGAAATTTGTTGATTGCATAAGTATTCAGCCCAAAATGTCAGTACTTGGTGGAAGCACCTTTGGCAGCAATTACTGCTCTGAGTCTTTTTGGAGAGGTCTCTACCAGCTTTGCACAATGGGATGGTATGATTTTTGCCTATTCTTCCTGGCAAAATTACTCCAACTCTGACAAGTTTGTTGGGGATCAATGATGGACTGCAATCTTCAAGTTTCTACACAAATTTTCTATTAGATTCAAGTAAAGATTTTGACTGGGCTACTCAGAACATTCGCTTTCTTTTTTTGAAACCACTCCAGTGTGACTTTGGCATTGTGCTTCGGGTCATTGTCCTGCTCAAATGTGAATTTTCGACCCAGTTTTAGATTCGTGGCTGACTCAAGCAAGTTTTCCTCTAGGAGTCGCTTGTACTTTGCACATCTTCCCCTCAATCCTGACAAACTTCCCCATCCCTGCTGATGAGAAGCATCCCCATAACTTGATGCTGCCACCCCCATGCTTGAAAATTCGGGTGGTGTTGACTGGTGATGTGCTGTGTTGGGTTTGCGCCAGAAATAACGCTTTGAATTTAGACCAAAAATCTCAATTCTTGTCTCCTCTACCACAAAACCTTCTGCCGCATGTCTGAAGTATCATTTATATGCTTTGTCACAAACTTCTACGAGATTTAAGATAATTCTTTTCCAGTAATGGCTTCTTTCTTGCCATTCTCTCATATAGGCTAGCTTTGTGTAGGGACCGAGATATTGTCAGTGTATGAACACTGACTCTCATCTCAGACATGGAACTTTGCACATCTTTTAAAGTCACTGTTGACTTTACAGTGACATCTATAACCAGTTTCTGTTTGCTTGGCTGCTTAGTTTGAAAAGGTGGCCTGATCTAGATGGTGACTGGGTGGTATGAAACACATTCAACTTCTTAATGATAAAATTCACCGTACACAAAGGGATAATCACTGACTTTGAAATTTTCATGTAACCTTCTCCTGATCTGTGCTTATCTACCACTTTATCCCTGCCTTGTTTGGAAAGTTCCTTGGTTTTCATGGTTGGTTTGCCGTATCACTATGTGAGTTGTGTTTTGCATTTACTCTGAAGTAAAGTAAAACCCTTTTGAGTACACACACAGACAGGGACCATTATACTAATTTTATGACCGTTCAGGCTAATCTTTTGCACCTGAACTGATTTAGGGTTGCTGTAGCAATGCAATTGGGAATATTCTAATTTTCCTTTAAAATCTAACTTACTTATATAATATCAGCGTTTTTAGCTTTCTCAGTTTGAAGCTGATTGTGTAGATTCTAAATATAAAGTCCCATTTGAAAGTTTCATGATGGCAAGCTCAGACGGCAACAAAATATGGAAACTTTACAGGAAGGGGGAGGAGGTGAATACTTTTCCAAGGCACTGTACATTACTATAGTGTTCCTTTTTTTCATGACATTTAATTCTTTGGTAACCCTTAGTCTAACATCTTTTCGACGTGTTTTTATTTACTTGTCTCAAGGCATATACTGTTTCTGTAATTATAATAAATATGAAATAGAATACAAAATTGTTTCAGTAAAATACTACTATATGAATGAAACAATATGTTCACGTAAATATTTACATATATACCAGAGTGAATTAGACAATACAGACGTTCCAAAGAGTAATCCAACAGAAACATTATTATGTAAAATGTAACAAATCAAAGCTTAATTTCCCCAATTAATCATTTCAGTCTAATGGATACATATATCTTCTCCTTCAGATCACTGCCGTGGGCACAACCTTTATTTTAGCCTTGAGAAGTGTGATATTAAGTAAATTGTCTGTGAAATAGGTATGCAGTAAAATCAGCCATTATACAGTTATTGAAAAAAAAACAACATAAACATTGTATATTAATTACAAATGTTCTGAAATAAATGCAAGAATAATTGTTACTTGATCCTTCTTATAATCTGAGATAATTGCCTAATTTATTTTTACAGATGATTATGATACCTTGATATGTGATGGTGATATGACATGTAATAAGCGAGATATAAGTTATTATACCACATTACATGTGTTTCTGAGTGCATCTAAAAATAAACCGTACATTAGAAGAATTGCTAAGTTATAAAGGTCGCAGTTAAAGATTCAAGTATTATAAACACAAAGATGATTCGACATTCGACAATAGAGAATGAACAGGTTTTACTCGAGATTGACATTGACCAATAGAGAATGAACAGGTTTTACTCGAGATTGACATTCGACAATAGAGAAATTACAGGTTTTACTCGAGATTAAAATTCGACAATAGAGAATGAACAGGTTTTACTCGAGATTGACATTGAACAATAGAGAAATTACAGGTTTTACTCGAGACTGACATTCGACAATAGAGAATGAACAGGTTTTACTCGAGATTGAGATTCGACAATAGAGAATGAACATGTTTTACTCGAGTTTCACATTCAACAATAGAGAAATACAGGTTTTACTCGAGTTTGACATTCGACAATAGAGAATGAACAGGTTTAACTCGAGGTTGACATTCAGCAATAGAGAATAAACAGGTTTTACTCGAGGTTGACATTCAGCAATAGAGAATAAACAGGTTTTACTCGAGGTTGACATTCAGCAATAGAGAATAAACAGGTTTTACTCGAGGTTGACATTAGCAATATAGAACGAACAGGTTTTAAATAACTAGAAACTAAATGAAGTAAGATGCCAAAAATTAGTAATTCCTTTCTCGCCTGGGAAAGTAATTTGATCTATAAAATATCAATAATGTGGCGTCTGTGCTTATAATATGTCCTCCTCTCTGCATATGTAAAACGTTTATACGCTTAATAATGTAACATTTTGATTAAGACAAAATAAATGAAGTGAAAATTGAAGATAGAGATATTATAGACCAAATAGCTGGATTATTGGAACTGCTGTTGAAACAGAGACGGGAATTCAAATCGTTCTGGGTATCCTTTTTACTTATTCTATAACCACAAATAGTTTTAACTATATAATTCATTCCAATGTAGCTTTAAAACTGGATGACTGAGATACTTGACGTCAAAGTGAATTCATGAAAGAAATGTATCTTTTATCAGTACATTTAAGGCATTATGGAGCAACACCAAACAAGTATTTCTTCACTCTCACTTTGAGATTCATAGTAACAAGCAGAATAAATTCTTGTGGCTAAAAGTGTCCATTATGTACATATTTATACTTTATTGCGTGTTTTTCATTTGAAAAAAAAGTGTTTTCATCTAAGCCATCTGAGAACTGTCCTTGCTTCGAATTCTTTGTTCTCCGGTTCCATTTAGATTCAGAAAACAATTTGCTCAATAGAAATGCCCGAGTCAAGCCTCTTGAAAAGCAATGTCATGTGTCCGAGTAAAAAAAAACGAATTCATGAAATCATTCGGCTCAGTGATTTTATTAAAAAGCTCTAGAAATAGTTTTTATACCAATAAATGAAATAAACTAATTTTATGTTTGGTTATAATTTATGCTTCTCACAAATAATATGTTCATATTTGATCACTTTAATAAACATAGCACATGGCTTTCTGTAAATAAATTAGTGAGCAATTTTATCATGGTTAATAACTTTTACATACAGTACTATAATATGTTTACTACAGTTGATATAATAATAAGATGTTTTTAGAAGTCGGAGGTGAGAAATGACTTAATTAACATTAGGTACGTTACTCAAATCCTCTAAGGTAAACAAATCATCTTAGAACTATTATAATCTACACTATGAGAGGGACGTATTTACTACATACATACATATATTTCAAAATAAAGAAATACTGATTTTTCTTTATCGTACTTTTATGGTTTAATCCTTACATATACAAGTAAATAAAATACGGTTTAATTTATTATAAAATTAGTAATA